CAGGTTTGACAAACTAGCTATATCTTTTTATTATTGTCTATGATGAAAAGATCTAGTAGTATTTGGTACTTATTTATATATACCATATTATCATTAACCACTATACCATAATATTTTAGCCATAAGTCTATCTGTTTAGAGAATATCTATAAGAGCCAAATCAAGAAATTATCTTTGTTGAGTTCAAATTCAACAAACCATTATAGATTTGAGACTTTCTTTTCAATAATAATATAAATAAAGTTGATGTATCATTATCGTTATATGTATTGTTGTTAACATTAGACTTTTTATATCTTTGGATTGCATTATTAAGATCAGAATTATAAAAGTTTAAATTAGAAAACTAGGCTCTAAGAAAACTTCTTTGAATAGTAATTAAAAAATTTGCATGCTTAGTCATCATTTTTACTTCTTTTAATACTTCCTCACTTAATGATCTATACTTGATTTTGAATTCAGAGTTTCTGCCAATAGTTTATTGTTGTGCTTATTAACTAGTGTGGTAATTTCTATTTGAGACTTATGTTTGCCTAATGAGAAATTACAATCCTATAGATATTCTTGCTTTTTAGTCTTTATTTTACGTTATGCTTCTTTTTTTTTTTATATTTTTTACCAAATTCACAGATAAAGGTTCTCTTCTGAACTTCTTCAGATTTACTATGTTTTATCCAATATTTATTAATCCTAAATTTATTTTGTATATCATATTTAGCAAAAAATCCTTCTACTTGCTCCTAAGCATCAAACTTTATATCTTTTGAAATGTCTTTTAATAATATAAAATCTAGCATATCTGTTAGTATATAGTTCAGACAACATATTGCTAAATTATAAGGCAATACCCTTCATTATCTCTACAGTTTTGATTATTAATCTCTCAATAACTGTATGTTCTGCTTTAGATGCTGAATTATTATTAATAACATCATTATTTTGTACTTTATTTAACTGATCTTTATATATAGTTGTATATAGATTTTTTTTTTTGTTTCTTTGTGCATTTCAAAAACAACTGCATTATTTTAAGATAAGTTATTTTTATATATATTTCTTCTTTATTGTATATTATTTTTACTTACTATACTGCTACATTTCAAATAGGTCTTTTAATTTTGTTTTTAATAGTTCTAAAGGTGTCAATTTTATATTCATCTTTTCTAATTTTCTAGAATTCCAATTCTTTTTAATTTCTAATTTTTTTTAAGATTTTTGTGCTGCTAAAAAATTTTAAAATTCTGTAGAAAATTGATTTATGAAAATAGTTCTTATTATATAATAGCTAGTTTATTTATTACTTAATTTGTTGGATATGAAATATAAGAGTATTATATACAATTTTATTCAGATTAATAATTAAATACAATATGTTATTTTGTTGTATAGGACTTTATTTGTTTTTAACTTTATTTAGAACAATTTACAAACCAAGCAGAAAAAAATATACAAGTTTGCTACTATATATTTCTTCTATTAATTGCACTAACTATTCGATCTATTAATATTTCTTATACTAATTGCACTAATAGCTAATCATTTGAACTATCAATGTTTCTTATATTAATTGCTCTAATAGCTAACCATTTTATCTATCACTTATACATTTGACTCTTGCTTATAATTGATACTTGTGATTCTACTCTAATCTGCTTAATTATAAGATCAATCACAACAATTTTTTTTTATAATTTAGCTACCTACCACTATTTATTTATAATTAAAATTATTCAACAAATTACAAGAATTTCTCTTCTAGCGCTCACCAAGCTTTTGTTCAATATGGTCTGCCTCAGCAGTCATTGGCCTCAATCTGAGTCTGAAACTACCTAAGGACTTTTTTTCCTTCAATTCTCGGCTGGTGACTGCAAGCCATAAGCATCAATATTGGCTTTTTTTATTAGTAACGAAATACAAACACAAATTCAAAAGAGATAAAAAAAAGAAAATATACTCAATAACGAAAACAAACCACCTAAAACAAATAAACCAAACAAGTCAAAAAAAAACAAAAACAAAGAAAAGAAAACAAAAATGGTACTATTAAGCCTGTGCCAGACTAAAAACATTATATAGTACTACTAAATAAGCTAAATTAACTTCTATATTAGTTAATTATATCTATATCTAGGATGTAAAAACTTCATCAGAAAGCTATCCGTTCTTGAGTAAAGATTCAAGTTCAAAACTTCGAATCGGTTAGCTCTGTAAAACTTCTGCAATATATTCATTTACTTCTAATTTAAGGATATGATTGTATATTATTTATCTTAAAGTAGACATGTACTCCTGTATGTAACTTTTCTTTTTCAGCAGCAATCATTATCATTGATTTTTTGATGGAGGTATGTTGTTTTTTCTACTTTTTGGTAAAATTTTGTGAAGTGCAAAAAGTGGTGTATTGTAAAAGGGTTTCAGTTAGCAGGTAGCCTTAAACTTCAATAGGAAGTGTGTTGAAAACTCACTTGCTGTTCTTCTAGACCAACTATACTTTTACTTCATTAGCAGAAGCTATACTTCTATTAAATTTTTTTGTATAAAAGCACTTCCTCTTGCCAGTTAACTTGTACAAGAATACTTTTAACTTGCTGAATATACAACAGAGTTCAGAGAAAAAGAAGAATACAAGAAAGGCCTTGACCTCTATAAAAATCATTACTTGTATAGTTATCTCTTCTACTTTTCTCCAACAAGTTTCTGTTTTTGTTAGTCATAAGTTTGGTATGAGTAATCATTAGAGAGAGTTGAATAGTAATAGATCAATTACAACAATTATTTATATATTTACAGTGGCGATCATAAGTAATGG